TTTTAATTTACGGTATTTTCTTATTTTGATGTTTTGAGCTCTTTTGTGTTTAGAACAATGTATACTAATTTTTAAAGTACCAAATTGAATTTTTGTTCAATAAAAATCTTTAAAATGCGACTGTAGCTTTTTTTCCCCAAAACTTTGTCTTCAAAATAAGGGTACATCTTATATTCCGAAAAATATGGTACCTGTAAACTAAGTTCGTGTAAGAAGTTTAGTTTTCATAATTTTTGAAGCTGAAAATAAACTGAAGCTAGCAGGAAAACTTTTCGGTCTGTAAAAATGAAATTAAGATTTTTTTAATTTTCTGCAAAATAATTACATTATTGGGTTTTATAAACTGGAAAATGAGGGTTTGAAATTCTAACAAAAAACGACAACTATATATATATTGGAAACGGCGAAAAACCGCTATGACATACTTCAAATACGAAACACTAAGTTCTGCTTCTTAGACTAAATGTTATTAGTTTCATGGCCGACATACTTGCCTTTCGTATTGTGTTTTAAATTATCGTTTAGCGTGTGACATGTGATTGAATGAAGAGTAAATCTGAAATAATATGAACTTCTTAGATTAGTGAATAAAAAAAATAATACAGTAACATGAAGCAGTAAAATATTCCAATTACTTTCTTTTTGTAATTATTAGTAAATTAATTACAAAGTAAAACTAACTTTGGAATGTATCTTATCAATTATACGAGCCTACCATAAGTGGCCACCCACACCAGAATAAATTCCGATTTATTAGATGCAGAAACATGAAACAAAGGGTGCGATATTACCGTTAGTATTTAATAGGTCTGTACTTTGCAATAATATTTAATGTAGAAATAAGGTTATACATTGTATATACTAGGTCAGAAATCAGGTCAGACGAAGATTTATGTTGCTCTTAGAAGATGGTTGGATGGGACGATCAAGGGTAGACCCCACAGCCTCGATAGAATTTATGTCCGGCTATTGGTCTGGTCAAGAGGGTATGGTAATGCCTTGACCTTCAAGCCAGCGTTTTGTAACTCGGGCTTTATGAACAGGATTCCCCTAGTTCGTGAAAACACTATGTTGTCTGGTACCTTTAGTCGTTAACCTGATGGTTTAGACAAGGTAATTGTCCGTGCTCAAGAACTGTGATGTATCGAACAGTATTGACCTTTGCATACCATCAGCCACCATCGTACAGCACCCAAAATGACACACCATGATAGAAATACTGCTTTGATTTGTCACGGCTTGTGAAAGGTTCAACGAAAGTTTCTGAAAGGATAGTCCCCAAACCCACATACGTCCGTTGTCCGATAATTGCTCAAATCTAGACTCGACGGAAAACTTAGTGCCTCCAATGTAAGAAAAGTATGGTAGTAGCTGTGATGCCTATTGCTGTTGACTTATTGCTTGAAGCTATGAGTGGCTTACGTGTAGATAATCTGCCTTTGTAGCTCCGGAGATAACTTCTGTTATATGTCCAGCAACAATAGCGGCTGTTTGACGTGGGTGTTTCCACACCCTTCATAATATGCAGATTTCATTGGCTTTGAGTGACTAGGCTCTGCAGGAACTGTTTTTCTAGCACAGACATCCTGAGGACAGCTCTATTGTAAGTGACCTGGCGATATCTTGCTTACACTTTAACCACCATCCAACCATGAAATGTCTGCTAATTTCTGGAATCATTTCGTTCATAGGACGGTTATTTATTCTCTAGTCTTTACCGAACTATACATGAATGATATGTATAGTTATTTCATTTGCATATAACCTCATGGAAATGGTTGATTTTCGTATTGTTAAGCTGTGCATGGTATAATAATATACCATTGGTTTCTTTCTTTCTTTCTTTATATTGATATTTAACAAGGAATTTATTTTTTGTTCTGATTATGTGCATGTTTTTCAACATAACACGTAATAGAGAAAACCGTTGGGTTGATAATGTTTCAGGTGTTACCTTTGTTTTGTTTTTTATCATTCTCTAAGTTAGGTGATATCCGTTACCATACACTGAGGACATTGCTACATGGGAATTTGTAAGTTTAGGGCAGTGGCCTTCCATGGTTGTGCAGGTAATATTTAAAAATCGTGGTCCCACCAATGTGGAATGAGAATGGCCAGTCACGTGATATCTCAATCGTGCTAGTTATTATTATTCCAAGTCTACTAAACCTATTTAATATCGGATCGGTGTAGAAGCGATTACAGTTGTAAGTAGCAAGTACACACGCTGTATCATTGTTTTTTAAAGGTTTAGTAAAGGTTGTGTTGTTAGTGTATTTTACTTTAGGTTCAGTCCAATTAAATTCTAGTTTAAACTCGGTGGAAGTACATTCATCACTGTTCCGTAATGCCATAGAGTTCTCAAGTTACTTCAGATCACCTTAGTATACCAAATGGTAATACAATATATCAAGGTCGTTTGAGCAAGTCTGAAAAGCCTTGTGGATAATCTGCACAAAGGCTTTATATTATAAATTAATTAAACGCAATAAAGAGAGTTGATTATGATGGTTGGGGGATATTAATATTCATTGAATGTTAAAAACATATTCTAATTGCAAATTGAAAGTTATAAGTACCTTTTTACAACTGAATTAGGATGATCATGTCTACATGAATACCACACTTAAATGTGCGAGCTTGCTGTCTTTATATCCAAATCGTCGATAAGTAGTTACAAATTGGCGGAAGTATGTATAATAATCAAAACGATACAATTTTGTGAATAACTGTTGAGGGTCGAGTGTGACCCAATGATTCAACGTGCCGGACTGCTTTTCTATGGTTCTGTGGTTCGCGCTCAGTTCCATGTGCGCGTTATAAGAGTGACGATCAAATACCACTGTTCAGTGTGACAGAAGTAGGCGATTAGAGGTGAAATTCAACAAACCCATTAAAAAGGCGAATAAAGATTAATTTTTGAACGCTAGGGATTAAGAACAGAGGTTGTAAAGACACTTACGTGGTTTGATGGAATGTTGTAAAAACTGTGAATTAATTCAAGCTCTTCAAACGCACTAACACAAGAAAGCACAGAAGAAAAATAAATTTAATGCTAAAAGTATACATTAGACATTGCAAGGTTGGGTAAAACCATAATTATGTTTTTTGTTACTTTTTCTATTCATCGCGCTAAGTTAAATACGTTTCTTAAAACGTGATTTCATTGTTTTTTACATTTCGAAAACAGGTAAAACGCAGTTTGACAATGAACGAAAGCGACTTCTTTGGGTTTATTTCTATCGTGATTTCATTTGAAGCATTTCACCAACATCACTCCCACTCACAGTTGAGCTAATATCATTAACAGAAATCCTAGTCTTGTAATCAGTAAATAGATTCATTTTTATATTTTGATTGTACTTATCATAGACCTTGGTCAATATCTTAAATGAATGTGAAAAGACAACCCGTTCAAGGACGTATAAAGAGCCACCTAAAGTTGTTGTCGAAATACGCCTCACTGCCGTATTAAATACGTGGATGGCAAAATTATGATAAAGCTACACATAACTAATGGACCTTCAGTTGCATAATTGGAAGGCATCATAAAATGTTTTAAGCATCGTCAGGTCTTATTATCAGGAAAACTTTAATATGGGAAGTATCTGAAATTCAGCCAAGTTCAATATGGGAAGTATCTGAAATTCAGCCAAATTTAATATGGGAAGTATCTGAAATTCAGCCAACTTTAGGCAACATTTAATTCATTGCAACGAAGTGAGATTTGGTATTGTAAGACATTTAATAAGGTGATATTTATGAGTGCATACAACATTACTGGAATGTGTGCCATTTCAAAAATGTGATAATGAATCTGAACGGATTAATGGCGAGTAATTTTCAGATGCCGCATAACTGACGTCACCTAGATGCAACAAAACCACTGTCCATGCTCTAACACTATATGTACAATACCCCAGTATTACAAATTTCCGATGAAACTGCAACGTACTTGAACCATAACATGGTGCGTCTGAACTGCAATATTGTCGGGTGGTGAGTATCTTCACGTGCACAAGGTTGTTAGCCTGCTTCCTATTTATATGGTAGTTGTCCTGTAGCCCTGATCTTAACGGAAATTGTAATGATCCACATTTGACCAGTTCTTCCACATTACTATTTAGTTGATTCCAGGCTGGCAACTATAGATTGTGAACGTACCATTGTTGCATTTCGGACATGTAATGTGGTAGACCCATTTTCTGTTTTTATTCAGCAGTCATTCCAGCAACACCTTCCCACTAAGTGGACTTGTGCTACACTGCTGTGATTTCTAGTAGGTTCAATTCGTTGTATATTTTACACCTTTGTGTCGGGGTGCCATGCGGTCGTAATTAAGGTGCTGCTGAAGTGGGTGGGTGACCTTAAGTTGTTGTTTTGTTTTTTGCCGTGTAGTGCGCATGGTTTGTTTGTTTGTTTTGAATTTCGCGCAGAGATACACGAAGGCTATCTGCGCTAGCCGTCCCTAATTTAGCAGTGTAAGACTAGAGGGAAGGCAGCTAGTCATCACCAACTCTTGGGCTACTCTTTCACCAACGAATAGTGGGATTGACCGTCACATTATAACGCCCCCACGGCTGAAAGGGCGAGTATGTTTGGTGTGACGGGGAATCGAACCCGCGACCCGCAGATTGCGAGTCGAGCGCCCTAACCACCTAGCCATGCCGAGCCCGTAATGCGCATGGAAAGGAAATGGTAGTTTCGTACACAAAGGAAAGGAAATGCAGGATTGTTTAGTATATGCGCTTAAGATTTCTACTAAATATCGTGTACAGATGTAGTAATGAGGTCATCAAGAATAAAATAGGGAAAAACTAAAGCGTGCCACCTAGAGGCATAATTTAAAATGTTATGAATAACCGAATTGTAAGTCCAAATGTATTTCCTTAAAGCTAATGCTAAAAAAAGGAAAAGAAATGCACCTGTATTGGCAAAGTGTCGGGCCAGTACAAAGCTAAATAGATTAACGAGATGAGAAGTTAAGACAGATGCTACCCCGTAGCTTGGAGTTAGAACAATAACTCTTGTGTTAACGTTCACTTGTTTATAAAACAAGACAAAGGTATTTCTTTAACAGAACCATTTATTAATCAGTGCACTGTATTCTATCTAGGTTTCGTATGCCAGGCCTAGCAGCGAGGCTATCAAAGGCGCCAATCTGTATATTAGTGGGTTACCCAAATCAATGACCCAACAAGAATTAGAGAACCTTTTCGCCCCATATGGTCGCATTATCACTTCCCGGATCCTCTGTGATAACGTGAAAGGTAAGACTTTTACACACTCAATTGGAATGTACTTGGTCTCATGTTAACTAGACTGTGAGCTGAAATAAGAGAAGCATGGTATTTGGGTCCTCCAGGTTGTCGTATGTATGTATTCAATTTATATTTTAAAACCCAAGCACATATGAAATATGTATGCAATTAATGATGCAAGTCAAATATAAAGTTACTCTTACATGAATAATGAACGTTGTTGTTAGAACTAGCACTGCCTTATGTTAAGTTTCAGTTTTGTTTCCAAAGTGGGAACAAAGTAGCTAATTTTCGTTTCTCTTCCTCTAATAGTTAAGCCGCTTGTGGGTAATTTTGCAGGATTGTCTAAAGGTGTCGGATTTGTGCGTTTCGATCAACGGATAGAAGCCGAAAGAGCTATTAAACATCTGCACAACACCATTCCAGACGGTAGCAGTGAACCAATCACAGTGAAGTTTGCAAACAATCCAAGCAATAATGCTAAAGCACTAGCACCTCTGGCGGCTTATTTGTCTCCTCAGCGTCCGTTCCCTGGACCGATTCATCACCCTGCTAACCGCTTCAGGTACATACCACTGTCGCCGATCTCCAGGTACGGGTATCTAGCGGCTCCTAGTGATCAGTTCTGTCCTAAGACGTTTAGTTTGTTCGCTTCATATTTAAGTTGTATCTTGTAAATTTTTCCAAATTATGTTTCAGCTTGTGTAAGGTCCATGTGTGATTTATTTTATTTATTTAAGTAAGCAACATTCGCGTTTAAGATAATTCAATTTGAAATAAAAAGAAAATCAATCTGAGGGAGGACAATAATTGGGAACTTGTAAAGGAACACACTCAATATCCTATGGAGCCAGACGTACCCTAGAATTCAGGGTACGTCTCCGACAAGTATTTCCCTTGCTTGGAGATCGATCGTTTTCTTTTTTTTTTTGTATTTTGATTTGTTTCTTCTTGATTTGTTTTTCTTTCAATTATCCTGTTTTGGCGGTGTTATTATATATCTCATTTGCATTTCAGCTGGACCCACAATGAAACTTTTGTTTATTAGGAAAGACTACAATTAGTAAATGCTTATGTAATATGAAAAATAAGTTCATTATAAGCTTTAAAATCTGGTATTAGCAGCGTAATTTAATGTATATATTTTTTCTTTCTCTCTTTCAACGTATGTATGTGTGTTTATGTGTGTGTGTGTGTGTTTAAAAAATATCCCTAAAACAAAGTATTTGTATAATGAATTGAAATTTTCTATTTTGATGTATCTTACAATTTTATAGAGACAGTATTTGAAAAATATGTTAAACAAAGTGATTATATTTTGAAGATAGTTAATTTCTGCATTTCAGTGTGATAAAAATAATATTAGAAATTGTACAGAAGTTTAATATCTACGTAGAAGAACTTTCAGCATGGTCTCTGAAAACATGGCAAGTGTCCCATTTTCTTATTCTTACAAAACAGTTTTAGAATTGTGACTGCTTTTTTAGAGTGGGCGTTGTGTGTGAGAAAGAGAATTTTCATCCTTCCAGATACTCTCCTCTTGCCGGAGATTTGCTAGCAACCAATCCTCTCTTGGCTGGGAACGCCCTCAACGGCTCAGGATGGTGCATCTTCGTGTATAACCTTGCTCCTGATACCGAAGAAAACCTCCTATGGCAGCTATTTGGACCTTTTGGGGCAGTACAGAGCGTTAAGGTCATTCGAGATCTGCAGACAAACAAGTGTAAAGGATTCGGCTTTGTGACGATGACCAATTATGACGAATCTCTAGTAGCCATTCAGAGTCTAAACGGATACACTCTGGGGAATAGAGTTCTGCAAGTATCATTCAAGACCAGCAAGTGCAAGACATAAAATCTACCTCTGCTGCTCACGGGTCAGGGGGTGGGGAGCGATACGATGCGGGTAGAGAAAGAACTCGCAGACTTCTTACTCTACCTCTGTCGTAAACCAACCCTTCAATGAAATACTGTAAACGAAGTGCTGCAGCTCTAATCATCATGAATTTTGGTGAAGCCAACTTCTGGAAATCCTAGTCATGACATGTAATTATTAGAACTTTTTACACCAAATTTCCCAAAAGCCAAAGTAATTTTTTTTACACATTGCGAATATATGTCGCATATGACATATAGCAGTCTGAGACTAGCAACTGTCTGGTACAAGAGTATTTTTTCTTCATTTGTTGGTTGTCGTTTTCGAGCCAGTTTAGTCATCCTTTACGGTGCGAACAGGCATTTTAATCACGGTAAATTAATTAATTGGTCAGAAAAAGTATTAGAATATTTTATTTACATACTCCATTTCTTAAACTCCCTAAAATGGATCAGACTTCGCTTTTGATCTCATTTTTAAGGCATATATAAATTTTAAGCTGTCAAGGATGATCAAGACCATGCCAGACAGTGCTTAAATATTACATTTTACCCTAGGGTATTTTAACTTATTTTAAATTAATTTTTTGTTAAGTCTTACCAGTATTTATTTGGACAAGTATTTACTGTTGTCATTGAGTAAATTAGCTTGTTTGGTATAATCACTTAGATGCCAACTTGATTAAGCATACTGATTTGGAAAGCTTGCACTTAGTTTTTTTCTTTTTTGTTTTGATTCTCGGCTGTTACTTTTCATTTTTCCTTATTTTTATGTATTGCATGTTATTTTGAAGCCTATTCTGGAATTGCTGTAATTATATTTTTGTTTGAATTAAATGATTTTTGGCACCTTTGGTTATGAATGAGTTAATTTTTTATGTTAAGAAGATGAGCACGTTTTTTGTCCCCACCCTTTTTTTTTCTTCATAAAAGCACATTGGATTTAGTTGCCTTAGCACCCTGCATGCCGTTAGAAATGTTAATATTCAAAGATTGTGCATGAATTCGGAGATGGAGGGTGGGGTCTCAGCGATGAATACAAGGCTTACCCATACCACGAACCATCCGCCATTTTAGGGGCTCCTGAGTGAAAATTGGAGCCAACACTAACGCCACCACGGCCACTTCCACAATAATCTATTTTTATAAAAGAGTTAATAAAAAACTGAGGATATAAAAGTGGTAAGAACCAAACTCTCTGAGTTCAACCGAAGTGCTGTGTGTGTGCGTGTGATGTGTGTCACCAAGTTGTTTACCGGTTTTGGTAAGGTATAGAATAAAATAACATTTTTGTCCGTCAGATGACGCCCTTAAGTAAAAGGCGTTACAAGATTCATTTCCAGTTATCATCAGTGTTATTCAGTGGTTTTTACAAGCATTCTTGGCTAGACTAAAATAAGAATAATTATTTGATTAAAAATTATAGTTTATATGTCTGTCTGTGTGTGTGGATATATATGTATAGATATAAGTATATGTTTATATACATGTATATGTATATATACATATATATGTATATGTATAGATATATAAACCTGTGAATACATCATAAAAATGTTGTTGATGCCTAAAAGGCAGCAGTTACTGAAATTTGCCTCTGGCAAAATTTTTAAATTTGGTAAATCGTTACATTGGAATAGTACTGACCAAAAACGAAGTAGATTATAAAGTTTATATATAAAGAGATCATAGGATTTCAAATTTACGGAATAGTGTTGGATCTAGAAAATGCTTGTTTACCTACGGCATACTTAGAGTAGCTAGCAGGGTTCCTTGAATTCCACACAATATTCCCTTTGTAAGTATAGGTTCATTCCCACGAACCTTTTTATGCGTGTTCTACAACTTGGATCTAAAGATTGTAGTCCTACACTGGTTTCAGAACTTTTCATCAAAGGATATAGGAGGCCTTGTGCCAGGTGCTGAAATTTTGCACCTTGTGTGCAATACCGTATGCAACTACAATTACTACTTTGAATCAGATTGAATTTGCTATTTTAGATGTAATTCGAGAATATTCCTACCTTTTTTATACGTCAAACAAGAAAATTTGGATAATCTTCTATGTTATATAACGTTATACTGCTTAATGTGAGATTTCTCCCAGAGGTCACAACAATGTCTAAAATTACCACTGGCCAAAATACTGCCGGTGAGTTACCTTGGTTGCAACTTGTGACCTGTGATTGTGACATTCCGTTTTCTAGGTAATGACGTAGGTTTTGACGCAATAAGTATTTTGTAAGCTGAGTACGAGAATTTGTTTGGAATATACAGGTCTCTATGTTAGACGTTCAAGGCAATGCCTAGTATTCTGGAATGTGGAAAGTTTGGTACGTCTAGATTAAAATGTTCATAACTTTGAAGATCCTCTTTTAAAACGATTTTCAAAACTATTTATTAAAATAGTTTTCAACGTGCTGTAAGCCCGTTTTACATGTCATACTAATAATTTCTAGGTATATAGACGTAAAGAAATCTTTTTAGATGGGTTACAGTATTCAAAATTCGGCTATACTTTTCTCTTGTATGTTGATCCTTTTATTTAATGGCTTATCCATACGACTGACATTCTCTTATTAGAATGGCTGCGTTAATTTTCTTAATCTATTTCGCGAGAATTTTGAAATAACCCCTATCTTAAATTGAGCATTAAGTACTTTTGATGTAAGTGAATAATAGTTTATGAAATGTTTTTTTTTCGAACATTTGTTTAATCTTAATCTACTTAATCGCTAGAATTGTGTTTAACTTCATGTGTCACAACAGCTTTGGGAATTTGAGATTGACACTCCCGAAGAAGAAGTAAATGCAAAATCCTGAACATGCTGCTAAGCTTAATTATAGATTTTTCAAATGACAGGGGGAACAAGAAGTCTGAAAACAATGACCTGTTTGTTCCCACACCATCTTGTACTTAGTTTCCACTTCATTCCAAGAATCTCGTATCTCTAAGTTTGTCGATAATTTTGGTGTATTTGTGATATAAAATATTTGGTGTATTAACCTGTAGTTTTTTCTTAAACTTTTACATTCCAGTACTCGTCATTGTAATATTTATTTATTTATTTTGGAACAATACTCAACTTTCGAATCTCTGTCGAAAACGACCGAACACACCTCGTCCCCAAGACTCCATGATTAAAAAAACAAACGAAAAGTAGAAGCGTTGATTGGTTGGGATCATTTATACTTGTCTACTTAAGTGGCACCTCCTCACGTACTTAAATTTTAGAATAGTTTTGTGCTATTTGTCTGTGTGTTGCTTTAAAGTTGTAGTTGTTAAGTTGCCATGTGTATTTTAAAGTAGCAGTTGTTTGAGCATTGTGTAATTTTTCGTCGCATTGACGATTTTTAGTATACATAATTAATGTAGACCTTTTTTCTCGATATTTTATTATATATATAGTATTTTGAGCATTTTTTTCTTGTTAATGATTATTCACGAGTCAAATATTTTGGTGTTTTCAGTGTTTTCTGAAGTTTATCATATGTACCCTCGATTTTTCGTGCTATATAGTTTGGGTTTATTGTATTTAAATTTGACACATTGCCATCTACCGGCTGTATATGAAAGCATGTTAAACCCTACGCTGAACTCCTTAGAATGGGCAATGCTTTGCTCAAAGGGTGTTCTTGCATGCGGTTTTCGAGAAATCCTTGTATGTGCGCAGTTGATTTATTTATAAGTGCTGCAACCAGGTTAAAACACAAAGTAATTGAATTTGTGAGATTTGAATATTGAGAGGTTCGAAATTAAATATTTCTTAGTAGACCAATGGTTGTTGTTTTCTGCGTAGTTTTGATTGTACTGCAATATTTGTACTTTTCCATGTTGAAAATAAACTCCATCTTGGAACACATGTCTTCATCTTTAGTATTTGCCTGATTATATAAAGGTAAACACAATTTTTATTAGTAGTGGAATTATTAATTTGTACCCAGGAGATCATGGATAACCTCAACCATTAAAAATTATGTATCTGTAAATTAGTACGATCACCTACGTAAAAACTAAATGGAACGTGAAACGTGAGTGTTTTTTAATTATTAGATTGACCCTACGAAAAGTATTTTAACAAAAGCATGAATAATTCTAGTCGCAAGTAAATTTAGACTGACAAGAAAATAATATTTACCTCTAATAACGGGAAAAGTTTAAATTATTCTATCAATTTAAATTATTTCATGGACTTCAAAAAGGTTAATTTTGTTGCACTCTTGGTTTCACTCAGAGCCAAAACGTTGAGCTACTTAAATCGCCCACCATGAAAAGTAATTGTTGAGCATTTCAATAATGCTAAGAGCCGCTCAACAATAACATACGGTAAATCTGCATTTTTATTCTTTAAGTTACCTCACATTTTGAAATGTGAATGGTAGCGTGATTAATTCCTAACAATTTCGTGTAGAACATCCTTCTTGATAAATAAAATTTGGCATCTACATTATTCATGCTTGTTCTCCTGTCATTTCAAAAGTGAATGTTGAGCTTTGCCTGCGTGTGCAGCTTTTCAAACGCAACGCGGGAAGCGGCCGCTGTAAACGGGAGACAGACGAACGCTCTGACAGACACCTCCCCCCCAGTGGCACAGCGGCACGTCTGCGGACTTACAACACTAGAATCTGGGTTTCGATACCCGTGGTGAGCAGAGCACAGATAGTCCATTGTGTAGCTTTGTGCTTAATTACAAACAAACTGACAGACACCACGATTCGCAATATATTCCATATATATATATATCGATTAATTATAACAAAAAAAGTAATTAAATGAAGGTGTTGATTTAAAACTCAAGGTAATGAAAATTAATCATCTTTGAGTAAATCTGCCCCAAATGGCTCAACAGTAAGTCTGAAGGTTTATGACGCTATAAACCGGGTTTCGATACCGGTATTGGGCACATCACATATAGCCCATTGGGTGAGTTTGCGCTTAACAACAAAACGGACAAATGGAGAAAATATTTTGCAAAGGGTATTAAGCAGCGTCTGTATACACGTCTGTTAAAAGCATAAACAAACTGTAGCTCAGCAGCGATTAGGTTTTTTGACTTGAATATACATTTTCTGTTTTAGTACTGATTTCCAATAATCAACGTCACTCCAATTTGTTTTTATCTAAACTTATTTAATTGTTTTTGTATTTGTTGTCTAATTTTATAAATAATCCAAAAATGGAAAAACCTAATTTTATTTTCACTACAACAATAATCAACTATTCAACCTAGATTACCATCGTTAAAGATAATATATAAACAAATCACCATATTATTACATATTTAAACCAATACTACCAAGAAGACAAACAAGTTAAACTATAGTCTTTGTCCTATTACAAAGGATACCTTTGTGCAAACACTAATAACACTTTCCACAGAGATGTTATGTAACATGCTCTATCGTGGTGGTTCTTCAAGACTCTGTTTTAACGTACATAAAAAATCTAACTCGCAATCTGATTCCAAACAAGCGTAGAATCTCGTTTACTTTGCACCTAGAGAATCAGATGAATTGAAACAGCTTACCGAGTCTTTAAATATTATGGAAATTCCTTTTGCAGAAGTTCGTCTGATCCAATAGATCTCGTGTGTTTTAAACGCTTCTATTTTTCCATTCGCTAACATTACTGTAAAACGGAAAAGACTGAAATTGAAATAAATTGCAGAAATGTGCCATTTTACTACATTTGGTAGCGAATTTGAATGCTGTAAAAAGTACTATCAGTGAAATAAAACTACTAAGTCATAATCAATATACGTAAATCATATATTGCACTAAAGATGAGTCATCATATCTCTCCCTAACCTCGTTTCAAAAAGCTATGGCATATTACACCACAGCATACGTTAGTAATAACAATATTTCAGATGGACTTTTGGTTGCTATAGGCCCAGAGCTGTTGAGTTTTCACACCTGACATAACTTCTTTGCTGGTGATTCGAATGTCAAGTAAAAGATGGATATGAAGTGGCATTATTTCCAGTTTGAATTCCAACCGTTTAACCTGAAATAAAATTATTTGGTATCAAATTACCTTCTTGCCATGCTTGCCTGCCAGTGGCTCAGTGGCAAGTCTGAAGTATACATCGCTAAAAACCGGACTTCGATACCTGTGGTGGTTACCTGGTTGTGCTTAATAACAAACAAACTTTCTTTGCCAGCCTGGGCGTTGTATACCTTGTTATGGGTTTACTTACTTTCCTAAGTTGTGTTATCGAATGAAGGGCCCTAAAAATTTGGAAACAAATACTAAACCATATTCTTTGGTAAATGCATGGCTTTAAAGGATAGGACTTGAATCTCATTAAGTAGTTAGAATTTTTGTTAAATTGCATCGGGTGACATCTTCAAACGAAATATTTGACTTATGATCATATATTTTGACGAAGAAGTATGCAGGAAAAATGGCGGGATATCACTGTTGATTTTGCTAAATTTTGCGAAAAATTACCCGAGAGCTATCTGAGCCCTCATTCTGGAGTAACAGACTAGAGTGAAGAGCTCCTACTGCCAACTCTTTGGCTGCTCTTTACGAAAGAATAGTAAATTAGCTTGGGCACAGACACACACCAAATAAATAATTAAATGCTTGTTTTAATTCTTGCTTATTAGCTATGTAGATAAAAGCATTTACTTATTAAATGCGTTGTTTATCGTCACTTCTGTGATTTTACCGTTCATCATTAGATTACGTTTTCAGCCTCATGAATCTGTTGTATTCTAACTATTTAAGAAACATTTCAAACCATAATCTAGTATGTTAAATCCTTCAGTTTATTGATTATAGAAGTAAATCTTATGTAAATAGTGTAATTTCGGTCAAAGATTCTAATCAATTACTTATCAGAAAATGACCGTAACTACATAGTATATATGACAAAAAAAAACGAGAGATTTTTTTTTAGTCCATTACACCATACTTGAATAATAATTTTATGTCTTATAAAATTACTAGCACAAATTTATATTAGAAAAAGCTCTCGATTTTTAAACGTCTTACTCGTGCAGTGTTTGGTGCATTACAGCGTTTGATTTGCGCATATTATTACTAAATTTGTAGTCTGAAACAAAAAATCTCAAACAGTTAATATACTGAAATGATTTCTTAGCTACTTTAGAGAATCATGGACACAAATTTTATCATCGTTAATATGTTTCTTTAATTCCGCTAATATATGACTATTTTGTGTAACTTATTTTTCGAGCGATTATTAATAGTCTAAAATCGAGTTTTCTGCTCAAATTGGGCAAGCATAAATAAAATACTACTTGATGGTAATGTATTGCTCATAATATGAAGAGTTAAATTACTTAATCAAGTTTATTTTGGTTTACTAACTTGGCTTGCAAGCAACTGATGAACACAGATTGAGTTTATAGCATATTTAAAGCTCTATTTTCCGAAACGATGGAGTAAGTATAGTGCCCCCCCCCCTTCCATCAGAGTCCTAAAGAACTAATAAAAGTCACTTTGCATAGTCAGCATTATCTCGTGTTTCCATTCATCGAAATAAGGGAATCGAACGAGGCTAGAAAAAATTGAACTCAATCAGATATGAAAACCAAAATGGCGCCTTAGTAATTCTACTTAGAATCTTCATTCTAGAAATGTTACTTAACATACCGCTTTAGATTCGTTACTTTATCTGCATTTATTAGTATGAGTTATATAAAATGGAAGCATTTTAAAATGCCGTTTATCTTAATGGACATTCATAGTAAAATAATTACAAAACGTGTGTAAGAGAATGATAAAGTTAGGGTTAAAATCAAGTTTAAGGAAGTTAGAAAAAAGGGGAATGAAAGTGTGAAATGTGGTAATTTAGAAGGAGTAAGTTAGAGTTTTGGAAAATATCTTACTGGATTTTCTGGAAGAGATAATTAATCCTCCTAAATATTTAAGATATGATGTAAACACAAATTGTGATAGAAAGTTTGTTTGTTTTTATCTTGTGAGCCTTTCAATCACAACTCTCAGAGAATCCGCCAAAATTACGACGGAATTTCATTATGTCACGTGACACAGTTAGAGTAGGTTCATTCAGTAATATCCAATCAGAAGCTGTGTAACACGTTCTGTGTTTTAAAACCACAAAAACATCCACGAAGCTTTGAAATTTCATAAACGTTATTAAAGCTTGTGGAGTATATACAGGTATGTAGTTGCACAGTTATTGCAAGAAACGGGTTACCAGCTAACAATAACAAACTCGTTGCATGTAATTGGGAACAAAATCCTTCTGTATGGAAATGGAAACAATTGTGTATGCACTCTACCTTAATTCAATATAAAATGTTTACGAACGTTTATTATCCTCATATTTACGTAACAAACGTTTGTTGTTGTTTTTTTTTAATTTCGCGTAAAGCTACACGATGGCTATCTGCGCTAGCCATCCATAAGTTAGCAGTGTAAGACTAGAGGGAAGGCAGCTAATCATCACCACCCACCGCCAACTCTTGGGCTACTCTTTTACCAACGAATGGTGGGATTGACCGTCACTTTATAGCGCCCCCACGGCTGAAAGGGGGAACATGTTTGGTGGGATGGGGATTCGAACCCGCAGATTGCGAGTCGAGCTCCCTAACCACCTGGCCATGCAGGATTTCGTAACAAAAGTAGGAATACAACCATTCACAAGGTAAACTGAATATATGTAAAATGTACTACACAAAGTTGGTCATGAGCTTAACGAAATAACCTGATGAAAATAATCTGTATATGTTAGTTAAATTCAAGTTAAACATGGTTTAACACATGTATAACATATTACTAATAATATATTAATATATATTTATACTTGTATGTTTACAAATACGTTAGTTATAGATCAACAAAATAGCTTTTAGCTATAAAGACACACAGTT